TCTTCTATTAACACCCTTTACAATTTAAAATGTGACGAAATGAACATTGAAATTTGCAGTTTTAGTAAAAAATTTCATGTCCGACTCCTCTGATTGACTCGATCCACTGTGCGTCAGGGAGTACAAATTCTTGGTTCATTTTAGATCACGCTCTTTAAGAGAAAGCAGGAACTAACAAGAATTTATTCCCCTTTTTTTTGTAAATTAGTAGTTAATTATCAGAAAGGAACCGAGCAACATCAGCTATTGCCAAATTTAATTGGACAATTTAATTATTTAAATGTAAACTGTTGTGCGAATTTTTGTGCAAATTTCGGTGAATTTTCTGCATCGTAGGTGCGAAGCAAATTCCTTTAAATTCGCCAAGGAATCCGCATAAACGTTCACGTGTAAAAAAATTAATCACCCAGTTAAAGGCAATAGCTGATGTGGTTTGGTTCTTTTCTGCTAAACGCGGTCCAATTATCGGTATGCGATCTAATCGTGGCGAGTAAAAGCGCGCATATTATTTTCCCAGGTATACGACTTACAAGCAATAACTCGGAATATCGCCCACCAAATGGAAAAATGATGGTGTGAAACACCATTTCTCACGAGCACGCTTTCCGTTCTGTACTGATGGGCTTATGACACGGTCCGTCGCATCGGTTTTTTTCTTTGTCCGTTAGTCGGGAATCGGTCGTCGGTTGTTGTTTCGTTCCGCTGTAAGTCAGTTTCCACCTTTATCGTCACATCTGCGCCAAGATGGGTGTGACAACAAGCATCTAACGGCGGGCAGTATTTTTTGTTGTCATCGGGAAACGATTCCGAACCTGGATCTCTTCGCGTGAAGTCCGATATGGCAATTACTTAATGGATCTGATACCTGATCAACCCTCATGATTCATCCGCAGTTATTGCTTCGTGAAGCTTTGCCCCTCTTTTCAGAATTTTTATCACTTTCCATCGGGTACTCAGTGATACCGCACAATAAAATCACCATCAACCTCTTCGAAGGAAATCAATTTTTTGGTCCCATACATTCGACAGTTAGCCACGCAGTGTATGGATGGGATGTTGTAGTGCCTATAGTCACCAAAAACGCATAAAAAATGGTGAAGAACAAGGTGGGAAGATAAACTTTAACGAATTTCAAGAATCGCGCATGACCTATATGTAGGATCTTCAGATGCTTATTGTCTTAAGAAAGGCAATTTTTACAAAATCCGTCTTCCCGAAACCTTCAAAATTGCAAAATACTTCTCGTCTATCCCACGGTTGGACCACAGAACAGAATGCGTCGCGTTTTGGGCCAGCAAGCGAAGGAAGCAAGGAGGAAGAAAATTTCAAATAAGAAAGTTAAAATTCAAGTTTCCTCCCAGTTATCTTAACTCGCCACCACATAGTACTGCCTTTATGTAGTAAACGTCAGATATTCTTTATTACCCCATTTATATTGATTTGTCTCCAGGATTGCCTGAAGTCAGTGATAATCAATTCAACCATGCGAATTTTTAATTAAAATGTTGAACAATATTTGAGATCATAGTTTTACAAGGAAATCTCCAAACAGTGGACACCGCGTCTGCCCAAAATCACGGGGGTGTCGACCTTAAGATACCCTCTACGGTTGCGGGTGCGTGCGGCGCGAACTGAGCTACCCTTTGGCGCCTTCAAATTCATTTGATACTTCATGCCTACACTAGAGCTTGAATAGTTGCATCACGTATTTTCATGTCTAGTCGGAAGTAGATGGCTAATGTCACCGCGAAATCATGAATTCAGTCGTTCGTTTACTCCTTAGAAATGCATGTTTGATTGTTTAGTTTCTCTTGAGCTTTAGTCTAGATTTAGATTTTAGGGAGTCCCAACATTTAAATTTTGTGGAAAATGTTGCCATACCTCACAGTTATCTCATTTTAATTTTTATAACAAATGGTGGGCTCTCTCAAATCTGTCTTTTCTTGCAAAAATAAAGCGGAGTTGTGAAGTGAGTTACATCGGATGGAGCTCAACAAAGCTTCCCCCTCCCCCTTTGTTTTTAGTTTTTTTATGTGTCTTTTTTAGCATGACCCATATTCTTTTATTTTTGTTTTCGGCGATGGATCTCCTATTGCCGGCTTTCATTTCGACAATTTTTGTCGATTCTTTATGTACCGATGCGAAGATTAGGGCTCAATTTCACAAAAAGGCGAAATACGGATTATTTCCGTTGGAATGTGCCCGACCTCGTCAAACGGCGGATTGTCCTTTTCACGTAAAAAAAAAAAAAAGAAAAAAAAAAAACTGTTCAGAGTGTCTGTATTAACCGCTCGTTAAAACGTATGACGCTCGAACAGTAATTACCAAGTGGCCTATCATTAACTTCATGACACATCCTCCGCTTATGGAATATTAACGTGTATCAAAACAAACATTCTTAGGAGTTATTGAAACTACCCATCATACTTATCGATTATGAAACTAGAAAAAAACTGTGTCCTCGATCGACGCCGCGAATTATTTATTACATTTAGGTAATCTAATGTTTTAATCTAATGTTTAATTATAACCAATCATCAGTATTGCACAAATTATCTTGTAAGTCGCCTGTGCCGCCTCTTCAACGCAAATTCTGAAAATTTCACCGAAGTATGCTTTATATTCCCTCGAAAAGTGGAAGAGGTTAGAGAAATTTTTTTGAAACCTCGCGAAGGAGATGGTGTTATTCTAGTTTTACTATCGTTATGCACCGAGGACACCTTTTCATGCGGTACGGGCAATCCTTGGAATACATCAATTTTTAGATTTTCGTCTTATGTATATTCAGGTATTTTATCTTTATCTTACGGTGCGGGAATCTAGGAGCCCGATCTAAACCGGCACCAAAAAGGGGCGAAGGTGGTTTATTCCGCAAGCCTTAAATCTCCGCCTATTAGGGAGCGTTGACTTGGATGCCCGATCTGCCTCCCACCCCCTCCTTCTAAACACGATCAAGGGTGCAAAGATACAAGTTACCAAAGGGCGCGCGCCCTGTTAGTCGTAAAGAAATTATCCTGTAAACAATTAAGGCTGATGTACGGGGGCTTGAACCTATTGTTAGAGCCGCATTCATTGTCATTCCTGCCAATTTAAGACCTTAACCTTTTGAGCCCTGAGTGAGGATTCCAGCGCCCGCACCCTCCTACCTAGGTTGAGAGCGTGAATTGTTGAAAAACTTAAAGGTTACGTTGATTTCTGTAAAAGAACAACTGCGTACTCTACAAGATACGGTCTTGTATGACTTAGTACATGCCTTAGCGACCGAGATCTTCAATGCGTGACCTCGTCATGAGAATATCTCATGAACAGGTCACGGTTGTCTGTATCAGCGTCGTGAGATGGGCAGTGCCCAAAGGCTGCGAGGAAAAGACAGCCTTTAAGTTCTTAAGGGACATTGGAAAAAACTCCGGCCGTGGAAGCCGTGCTTACGGGCTTTATAGCCATACCGTCCACGTTCCAGGCTCAGAGGCTCGAAGCACCGGGTCAGGGTGTCTACAAGTCCGGAATTTCCAGAAAGTCCGGAAATGGTACTGATTTTTGAAGGGCGGCCCGAAAGTACTGAAAAAGTGCGGAAATTCCGCAAGAAGGTCCGGAATTTTTTTTTTCATTTTTTGTCATTTTTGTCGCAATTTTAGCGAGGAATCACAATTGTTGAATTTTTTCGAATTTCATCAATTGGAAATACTGAAAAAGCACTGAATTATTCTGTTGAGGAGGTACTGAATTTCTTGGGAATGCACCGGAAAAGTACTGTAAAAGTACTGATTTTTGGCCAGCCTGTTTTAGTAGACACCCTGCCCGGTTGTAGCACCCGGAGCAGTCGAAACTACGGTTTCAGCACCCGGAACTTTCGGGCTCTGAGCCCGGAACGGACAGTATGTCTATGTGGTCCGTAACTTTTTTTTCAGTGGACGACTATGAATGCGATCTAAGTCTCGTCTCGTATTCACAGCGTCGCGGCCTGCCTCGTGTTTGGTGGCGTGCTTGTACCTACATCTGACCGGAAAGCGAGAAGGCGGAGACGGAACGAAGGGAAACACGTGCCACCGTGAGAATGTTAAAAATTGTGTCAGCGGACGGTTTTTTCAATTAAGTCAAAGGAGTAATTAGCATGAAATATAGTCGGCGGGGCCCTCGCGCTAACGTTCCAAGACAGATCGTTTCGTCAATACAAGCTCGGTGTCACTCCTCGATTTTGTGAATCGTCGGTATAACTCGAGTTTGATTTTGCAGGTATTGGTGTTTTCACAGTAATTATAATTTATGACTGTTAAGTGTACCACAGTGAAAGCTCGCTAAGTCGGATTGTGTACGGATCTACAAAAAAATCGACTTAAGCGGCAAATCGACGTAACCGATTCTCCACTTAACTTATGGACGTGTCCAGGGACCGAACAAAAATTCGACTTAATCGGCGTTTCGTCTTAACCGTAGTTCGACTTAGCGAGCTTTTACTGTACTTTGTTAATTCGTTTACCGTCAACGCGTTTTGCAGAATTTTTCCGTCGGGCCAGGAAGACGTAGACGTACAAAAAAAGTGAGAGCAAAAGGTAGTCAACTTATGCTCTGAGCATTTCTCACTTGGAGCGAAACATTTTGAGTGTTTATCGCCCTCATGTGGAGCGCATTTCGCCCCTCTCACGATTGTGAAGATAGCGAAGACGAAAGGAGTGAAATGCACTCTACACCCGAGAGATATACGCTCTTTTTTATTTTTGCACCGAACGAAAAATACTCAGAACATATATTGACTACTTGGCTATCGTATCACGCCATTTCAAACAGTAAGGATGAAGTCCACAAAAAGTCAAAATTTTCGGTATTTGAATTTTTGCAAAAGGGACCCTATCTTTCAAATCGTGTTTTGACTCCAGGAATTATTTAACTAGCCGGTGGTTGAAGTTAGTGAGCTCAAAAATCGTTATAATATGAAAAACTCAATTCATTAAAAGATGAAAAAAACTGAGGATAAAATTGTTTTCTTCTTTTTTTCCTTCTAGCTCGGAGAGAAAGGATCAGGATTCCGACCAAGAAGTGATGCTGGCGTCCAAGACTTCTACGAACTACGAGACAGGTGCCTTGCAAATGGAACACTTTTTGAGGACCCGGATTTCCCGTGTGATGACACCTCCATTTTCTTTTCAAAACCTCCCACAAAACCTTTCGAATGGAGGAGACCATCGGTAAGTTTTTTTCCTAATCAGAAGTTATCAGCAGGGTCGGATTTAGGGAGTGGCCACATGGGCCGCGGCCCATGGCGGCAAATTTTGCAATTTTTTTAAATGTAGCTATAAAGAAAATTCTGAATCAGAGAAAAAAATTACAAACGAGAAAAGGTGACAAAATCTCTCATTTCCTGAGAGTGTATTTCTAATTTTTTCGTCTTTTTGTGGTACAATAGACAGCACCTTTAATTAGTCGAGTTAAGACTAAGAGAGAAACCGAACACGGAATTTGGTCTGGAACGGCGCGGCGCAGAGAGCATGATGACGAGAACTTGAGATGAAAAGGAGAAACCCTCGGCGCGGCGCGACGGTCGGCATGTAACACATATTAGCGCCTACAAGACTGCATGAATACTTCACGCATTGCGTCAAAGACAGTGCGGTCGCTGCGGTCAGCAGCGCATAGCGCCTACAAGACTGCATGAATATTTCACGCATTGCGTCAAAGACAGTGCGGTCGCTGCGGTCAGCAGCGCATAGCGCCTACAAGACTGCATGAATACTTCATGCATTGCGTTAAACACAGTGCGTGCAGGAAAAAAACGATCAACAATACAGAGCAGGAAGAATTACCGCTTGATCCACCTGCAGGAATACAATAACTTCTTGACCACGTGACCAGGTGGATCGCGATTGGTCGAGTGCGAACATGGAAAGGCCCCGAAAACGGATTATCTTTGCGAAACCACGGTGTAAATCAAGTGTTTTTGAAAAAACGCGGCAATCTAGGCGCGCAGAGCTGTATTAAGGTCATCTTTTTGACATTTTTTATGAAATGGGGGCTTCTAAAATGGGAAAACCTTTTGATAAGTTGAGAACTTTCTCCATCTCTGATTCCTGCACCCAAGTATTTCGCAGATGCCTGTAAATTAAACGGAAGACACATCGCGTGGAGTGAATTGCATTTAGCTGGTTTCATCACCTAGAGGCCTGGTGACCGCATTTTGTATTTTTCTTCACTATGGTAATGACTGTTCTTTTGCATACTCTGCCGCTACAATGTACCAAACTGTTATTTCTTAAATACTATTGTTGTTTTTATCATATTTAATTCTCTCTTAATCTTTTTTGCTGTGCAGGAAATCAGCACTAATCCAAAATTATTCGTGGAAGGAGCAACCAGGTTTGATGTTGTCCAAGGAGAGTTAGGCAAGTATTCTCTGATCCTCCATTCTTAATAAATTTGAGTTTGGAAAAAAAGGTCATAACTATCTGTGCTTTATTAGTATTAAATTTCTTGCTCAAGCATATATTTTAGAAACGGAGTTGAACTCAGAATATAGGTATGATGTACCTTGTCCCTCAATCTAGAATACTAGGAGTTGAAGTCAAAAAAAGGAAGAAAAAGACTTTTGTGATTTAAGTTTAACATCTCCTGGGCTCTACTTATTAGACAAGTGAAGGGAGGAAATTTTACTTTTTTAAACGAAAAATATGTGTAGAAGGTGGGCAGTGAAAATGTGGAAAGCTACAGGATGGGTGCATGAAAATGTAAAAGGCTAAAACTATTGCATTCCTGAGCGGAGTTGCCCTCCTTGGTGTGTTGAGGCCCCCCTCCCCCCAAGACCGATCAATATTAGAAGGTCTAAAATTTGTTTTTATCAATTAAGAAACATGCTTAGAGTTAATGCAAACTTTGATGTATTTATTACCCACTAAATACTCTAACAGAGGTTTCAGTAAAATATCTTTTTATCTTTCTTTCTTCATTCTGGATGAACCATGAATACATATTTGTGTTAAGCTCTTTTAAACTTTTGTCCTCCTGTTTTGAAATCCTTATCACCCATCAGTGTTTTGCCATTTTAGGTGATTGCTGGCTTTTGGCCGCTGTTGCAAATTTGACACTCAGCGATCAATTATTTTATCAAGTTGTACCTAATGATCAAGGATTTGAAGACAAATATGCGGGAATCTTTCATTTCAGGTAAATTTTATCAGCAAGAACTTTCTATATCGTAGACAGAGAGATGGTGATTTTGCCGTCTTGCGTTTTAATAAGAAACTGGTGCCAGAGATGTGATGCTGGTTGCCCTCGATCTGCAATCCGCAAGGTGGGGGGTCTGCTGGATATTTGTTTTGCATCTCTCTGCTTTCTGTCATGCAGTGAATAACAGACTAACCTATTTAATTTTTTAAAACATTATTTTTCTAAAATTTTGTTGTTTCATTTGTTACCCTCTATGCAGTTCTTTTTTTTTTTTTTTTTTTTTTTTAATCGCATTTTAAATTGGATCAGTGATAATTAATGGAAGGCTGAAGTGTAGTTTAGAAAATAGCAGCAAAAGTGCAATAAAATAGAAATAACACAAAAATAAGTCATTAGCTTTCTAATGTGCCGTAGTCAGTTTAATACAATAACATATGAAGCTGTTTTTCGTCAATTCCTTCAACTTTTTTATCACACTATTTTTACCTAAGCTATTTCCAGACTATGTTATGCAGTCAGGACACCTTTGCAATTGATTTTATCATTAAGTTTTACTCCGCAGGTTTTGGCAGTATGGAAGATGGGTTGATGTTGTTATTGATGACAGGTTACCAACTTGTTATGGTAAATTGGTATTTTTACATTCGTCAACACAAAATGAGTTTTGGAGTGCTCTTTTGGAGAAAGCTTATGCTAAGTAAGTTCCCTCTGTTTATATTCTGCCTTTTATTATGAAATCAGGTTTATTGTTTCCTTAAATTGATGAATTTCAACAAAACAAAGAATTTGGTATTTAATGAAGTACATTTGAAAAATTTGTTTTTGGCTTGTTTAGAAGAAAGTAGCCTTGCAACTGTCACTAACTTTTTTATACAAATAATTTTTGGATAGGGGTCATTGTAATTTCGCAGCTGCATTAATCAAAAGATTGAAAGAGCTTTGGCAAAAGTTTTTCACAAGGAGGCTCAGTCACAAATTAACCCTCCTTGCATAATCCATCTTTTAAAAACACAATGTCAACATGATAAATCATTTTATTATGGTCTGTTTCTCATTTGAATCTTTCTTCCAATTAATTAAATAACCCTTTCCATGCAGTTGGGATCGGTGCAGTTTTCATTACTATGAGTGCCCTTGATCTACGAAGGGTAGGCAGGAATTCTTTTTTTCCGATCGTTAGCCATTTGCAGAAAAGCATGATATTCATCGCTTTTCATTCAAAAAATATGAAATTTTGAAGTCTAAATTTGGCAATGCTACCAAGTGGATCTAGATTTGTTTAAGTCTTTGAAATTATACTGAAGAATAACAAACTAAAGATTCGTAGACATCCAGAGGGAAGAGATATTTTACCAGTTTCCGCAGACTCCTTCTAATTGCAATTTTTTCCTAGGCTCCATGGCTCCTATGAAGCTCTTAAAGGAGGCAGCACATGTGAAGCAATGGAAGATTTCACAGGAGGTGTTACGGAACTATACGAGTTGTCAGAAGCTCCAGAGAATCTTTTTCATATTATTCTCAAGGCGTACGAAAGGTCTTCACTAATGGGATGTTCAATTGAGGTGATTTTTATATTTATGTGATATTGATGTAGAAGTTCAGTTTTGGATCTTTTATTAAAAATTAAATTATATACCTGCAAAATAAATCAAATCCTATCAATATTTCAGCATTGATTTATTAACTGAATTAATTATTTATGCAAGGCAGGTGGGTAGTAAAACTCATGTATACGTAAAATAATCCCACAGTTCTAAAGGGAAGAATCATCGCACTATCATTTGATATCAAAAGGGATAATACCAGTAGGCATGAGAGTTCAAGGGTCACCGCATCTGGATATTTTAGGAATGGGTTTGTGTGAAGTTTTGAAAAGGGAATTTCAGAATTGAAGTTGTTGATTTTCTCAGGCATTTTTCAACCTCCTTCCGTACATTCTCAGAAGTTTCTTTGAAGCGAGAAATTTCTTCAAATTATTCAGCTCTGTTCTTTTGACCATACTTATTCATGTTCGATTCATGATGAGCCTGCAATGCAAACTTCCTCAAATGCATCATTTTTAATTATAATGTGATCCAAGTCGAAGGTGTTAATTCAGTCTCGCCTCCATTTTAGGTCAGGAAAAATTATTTAAAAATTCGGAAACATTTGCGTTACTTGAAATATTGCTACCAGCAAACATTCTGTAGCCATGAGCTTGAGAGAACAAACATGACAAAATGTGTGAAATAAGGCTTAAATATTAAAGCACCTAAAAAAGCAGAATATTTCAAGCCACTACGGACTTCATTCTTAGCTGCAATAACAAAAATTTATAAAAACGAAATTTGAATGGTGACATGATCCCAGTTATCCCCCAACATAACCAGGATAAGGTCACCTTTAAATTTGTATTAAGAACCTTTTTGTTTTTGCAGCTGAAAATGAGCTTGCAATGGCCTGGATTTGGTGTATAATATTTTAGCCTTGCATCAACCACTCTCTCATATTTATTCTCTTGTGCTTATATTTTCAGGCTGTGTAATTTAAGCATCATTTTACACATGAGTAGATTATCATAAGGTATTAACTTGGGATTCCTTACCTCTGAGAATAGAAGTTTAGTTTCTCATGTAATTCTTTGTCTTGGTTTCAGCCAGATCCTCGTGTATTAGAAGCTACAACGCCCCTAGGTCTTGTCAAGGGTCATGCCTACAGTATTACAAAAGTCAAATCAGTTGACATAGCGACGCCTAACACATCAGGAAAAATACCTCTATTGCGACTTCGGAATCCTTGGGGAAATGAAGCAGAATGGACAGGTCCTTGGGGAGACAAGTAAGTTGATCTATTTTTAATAGTGAGGAAAAATACCAATTAATGGCCTGACAAACTTAACTGAACAATCAAAAAAAGAAGACCATAAAAAATTGTATAATGCTCCTCTACACAAGAACTAATCCAAGTTTATGTCAAGTAGTAATTCAAAGGAGGGTTTAAGCACACTATACTGAATCCTGAATTTGCATTTTGATAAATGCCTCAAATAATGTAAAATTCATAAAAAGGAGCTTCTCTTTAAATCCTGGATTCTGCTTAAAATGGAAATATCTAAACAAAAACGTAAAAAATGAACAAAAGCAGACGAAATAAGAAATTCTTTTAATTTTGATTATGTATAAACTTGTCTAAGTAATCCCACTAAAGTCAGTGTTTTTGCTCTGGCGCTTGTCCTTATAAAATAGTTTATAGTGAAGTCTTTAGTGGCCATTCATTCCATAATTTTCAGTCAGGGACGTAAGTATTTGCATCTTTCAGAAATTTATCAAAAATCTACGTAATTTATGTACAAGAATGTTAAACCTTGCTTTCTTTGATTAGATCTCGAGAGTGGCAGTTCATTTCAGAAGCTGAGAAAGCAGAAATGGGTTTAACGTTTGATGAAGATGGAGAGTTTTGGATGTCATACAAAGACTTTTTACAACACTTTTCAAGATTAGAGATCTGCAACTTGAGTCCAGACTCTCTGACGGAGGATCCATCTCATCAAAGTCACAAAAAATGGGAAATGAGTGTTTTTGAAGGTGAATGGGTGCGTGGAGTCACTGCTGGAGGATGTAGAAATTATCTTGGTAAGAATTGCTGTTTAGCTACCTACCTGTAAGTGACTCTACATTTATCTACCAGCTAAGCAACTTGAAAAGCAAAATATCTTGTTAAAATTTTCTGTTACTATAAAGCTTGAATATCATGAAGGCTGTCCCAAAAAGACCTAGACTGATACTGTAACTGAAATACTAAGTCATCTTTTCAGCTAATCTAGGTTTAATTCAAAAGAGAAAAACGCTTTTCACTTTTCAATCCATGTTTTTCAAATTTCCTGTATTAGACAAATATTAAAAAATACAGTGTACCTAGCTTTTATTATTAAGCACTGCTTCCTAAAGAAATACAATTGCCTTGTGCCAGTTATTCAATGCCCTTGTGGTGAGTTGGATTGTATGCAGATAAAAAGTCAAATTAGCCAGGTTTTGGTTCTTGAAGTTGTCTCAAATTAAAATGATTAGTTCTGGGCTCGGGATTGCACTCTTAATTTATTATTGTTCGTCAGTTTAAAAATTACTGTTCGCTAGATTCTTGATTTTAATATTTGTATCATAAAGTTTATTTTCAACAATGAACCTAAGTAAATGTAAGGAAATGTGTTCGGTGTGTTTGTTGCGCACAGTGTGTTATGCATCAGTGTGTTTAATGTGTTTAGTGTGATTGATGAATGTCTTGTCTTGTCTTTTTATTGTGTTTGATATGTTTTTCATAGGTACTAATTTTTGGTATCAATTTGGATAAATGATAGACCTAAAGGAAAAAATATGTAAATAAAGAACGTAAATACTTAAATTAATGAATATTTCTGGAAAAGAAATTGGTTGACGTTTCGAACAGGCAATACAAAATGCACGGGTATCCACCTATCGCATATAATTTTTTTCATGCCCCCCACACATTGTTCACATTTGTTTATAAATTGTATGTTTCTTGTTTTACAGAAACGTTTTGGCATAATCCCCAATATCGGATCACATTGGTAGATCCGGATGAGGATGATGCAGATAATAAATGTACAGTTATTGTTGGATTAATGCAGAAAAATCGACGAAAACAAAGAAAAATGGGTGCTGAATGTTTGACGATAGGTTTTGCTATGTACCAAGTGAGTTAAATGCTCTTTTCCAAGTTGTTCAACCCTGTTGTTGATCCCCCCACGAAGGAGACTTCCATTTCTTTTGATATCCGATCTATTACAAAGTTTAAAATGACTCCTCCTCTTCATGACATCAATACTCTCTGGATCACAGAGTTTTTTTTCAATATTTTTAGTTTTGAATTTCACATTAAAGTGTTTTCAACCAATGAACTGAAAAAAATATCTAGTCACAACATCAATCACATCGATCTCACATTTAAATATGAATCATTCAGAGTAAGAACAAAGACTCAGCAAGTAAGTGAAATAAAGGCATGCTCTTCCGTTACAGATCACCGAAAATCGACCCAACTCTCAGTCCTGTTGATTTTTTTCAGTTTTGGTGGCAAGTTTGAAACAGGGTTCCAATTCTGCAATATTTGATTTGAATCTTTCTGGGCCAAACTTCCCGCCTAGACCAATGCCACTGAGGGTTTTGTCTATTTTATGTGCTTTAAAGAGGGAAGAGCATACGTTTGTTTCACTTAACTTGTCCCTCACCAGCTTAGTTGCCATAGGAAGGAACGGTTCGACACCTACACTATAGCACTTTTTTCAGAATTTTTTAGCTTTACTAATCAGGTTCTTGTTTTGCCTAATATAGCTGAACAATCCAGAATCCCTACCTAAACCGCTGGGCTTAGATTTCTTCAAATATACGGCATCAGTCGCTAGATCTCCCTCTTTTATTAACATGCGAGAAGTAAGCTGTCGGTTCTCACTGCCACCTGGAGTTTATTGCATTGTGCCTTCAACTTTTGAACCGAACGAGGAGGGAGAATTTATTATCCGAGTCTTCTCTGAGAATAAGAATAATATGGAGTACGTACATTTTTTTCCTACCCATTTTCTTATCTTCAGGTATTCTAGCGGTGTAGAAATCAATATGGGCTCTCTTGTTTTTTATATATTTTTAAAGCCAAGATTTATGACCCTAACATCAACTTATCTCAGAAAGCAAATAACTGAAGTCTTTAGATGGCTGAAGTCAAAAATGCGTCCCTCCGATTGCAATATGTATTGCAAATTATTGCCTTTGTTTTGTCATATTTTTTTAAAGAATTTAACCAACATTTTCTCTCAAAATTTTGGTTTTTTTCCTCTCAATAAATCAAGTCATCATCAAAGATTTTGAAACATTGTAAAGGTGTGCATTTTTTCATAATCAATTAAAAATTCATCCTGAGTCCTTAAGAAATAAAAAATAAAAATTTCTTTGCTTAATTTTCTGGAGTCACCAAAACACGTACATAAAATCGCATTGGCACAGTTTTATTGTTTTTTTTATTTTAATTGAATAATTTGTTTATATTTTGTATGTGTAATTTTCATTTTACTATGATCTTGAGCTGTTCTTTCTTGAATGTTAAAATTTATCCTTTCTCTTACAGAGAGAACGATGAAGAAGTTGGAATCGGAGAAGTTGATGACCGAGTAAGTCAAGTTAAAATTCCCTATTTTTAAAAATGTATCTTTAGAAATTATGTGTCCTGTGCTCACTAATTTGCCCGCGGAACATAAAAATAAACTGTGTTTATACACATTTCTAAACAAAGTCATTTGTGGTTGAGTATTTATGTAATTTTGTTCTCTGAGAATTTAGGGGGGGGGGGTAAGGGGGTGAAATCCTAACGTAGATTTAACTCATTTTAAAATGAGTCTGTCAAGCTAGTCTCAAGCCTCTAGTTTTAATGTATCTCATGCGCGCTTTGTCATGTAAAGCCTGAATAATAACCTCCAAAATGCCAGAACGCAGAAAAACCTTTCCACTTTATCTTGCATCAGGCCAATTGCCGAAAAAGCCAAATTTTGATTTTAATGAAAACTGGAAGATTATTCTAAAAGGCTCTCTAGAAGTTGCCCAATTCCTTACTGCATGCTGAGAAAATTTTTGGTTTAAAGTTACAGCAGCAACGATCAAAGGTCGGGGAAGTATGCGTCTCAAACGGCCACCTAATTTCTAGGGCATTAGTCTTATAATATACAGAATTAAATAAAATTGATGCGTAAATTTTTAAATTCTTGTCTACAGGTCAAATTGCCGGATGAACCAATGCCTGAAGAAGTTAAAGCCAATGAAAAGATTCGAGAATTGTTCAAGAAGTTGGCTGGTGAAGACATGGAAGTTGATTGGATGGAATTGAAAGAAATATTGGACTATGCTATGCGTAACGGTGAGTGCACTGTCTTCATTTCTATATAAAACTGATGGAATGCCATGAAAGCAGGTGCTGATAATGGATGTTTGAAGACCCTCTAGCAGTAGTTTCTTAACATTTTTGGGTCTCTGAAAGATGAAGTTGTAGAAATAACTTGATTGAGGTAAAAGAAACAAAGAGCTAATCACTTGGTAGGTTGGATCGATGGATTGGTGGATTTTGTAGATTGGTGTTGGAGAAATGGTGAGTGGTCATCTGCAGCGACCCTTGTTTTTGTGCCCAAAAGTCTTTGTATTACAAAACAAGAAATGAAACATCATTTTTCAAATTTTTTGACCGTAGAGTACTTTCCAAATCACATGAAAGGGGCTTAACTCACAAAAAATGATCGGAGAGAGAAAGAAGGGGAATATTGAGAAAAGTAGGGAAGAGTCTGTGGCCTGGCAAGACAGGTCATTACTGACAATGAAGATAGGTACAACCAAAAAAAAGCAACCATCACCTTCTGTTTTCTTTACATGATTGCCATGCAACCTAATTCACCAGCTGTCTTTTCTAGTAGCAGGAAGATAGAGAGGTGAGAAGTATGTAAGGATTCCTTTGGCAGGGCACACTTGACTACTGAGCAGAGTCATTTGCTCCTTCGACCCTCTGTTATTGCCACACTGTGGCATGGCAGAGGTTTTTCACCTCCGCTCTTCTTTTAGTGCTATCTATCAATCCAGCTTGATTTGTTTTCCGATTGTTTGTCTTCTTTAAGAGGTCCACCTGTACGTTTTATAGCTTCTCTACCACAGTTTTTGCACAATGATTGTGCTATGTTAGCATTCACAAAATCCTTCAAAATACTTAAAAAGTCACCAAATGTGTAATTAAAATTGTAGTGCACAGTACACATGTCTCACTGTGTAGCACAGTTCATAACTCCAAACGGCTCACAATTGTATTAGTTTATTTGTTTATGTGTTGCTTTCTAAAGCATAAGTCAGCTCCTCGTTTACTTAAGAAACTTATTTCAAGCACATGTTTCAACTAAGTCTGCTGGATGTTTCTTTTTTTTTCCTCTCATATTTTTTTTATTTCATTTTTCTTCCTCTTGTTTTTTCCTTCCTTCAATCTTCATAACCACTAATTTTTGTTCATAAGAACTTCGAACACATCATTGAATTTTACAAGATATTGTCAGTAAAGATTCATTTAAAGCGTTCTTTCAAGTGTGTCCCTCCTTCACTCTTACGTTTTCATGATTTTACCTCTCTTAAATAATGTGGCACTTCGCATTGGGAGGGTTGTGGAAACGACACCCCCTCCTCCCAATTTAAGTATTAAAACTGACTTTGTCTTAATTGAATTACTTGTTGCATCTGTGCTCTGGCTTTCCTGTTCTTAATAACCCTTCAAAGTAATGTATAATGAAAATCATAAACCTCTTTAATCCATGAAAGAATCCTATTGATACGCAAGAACTAAATTATAATTTCTCTGCGGGGTGAAATCCAGCCAAAATAAGAAGCTTTCCATTTTTTCGTGCGGATTTTCTTTTGTGGAGAATGTGAATGCCTCTATGTATGTTTATGTTTTTGTTTCAACAGCAAAGTTTTTCCGTCAAAGATGAACACATTTTAAGTGAATATTCGCGATTGAATATCAACCACAAATTCTGTCAAGGTAAAATTCTGAATTGCAGACAACTTCCCCCTCTAGTATTCAACACACAGGTCTACCTCCTACCTTAAAAATAGCACCATGCTTTGCTAGACACCCCCCCCCCCCCTGTAGCAAAACTGTAGCAAAATTTTCAAAAAAATGTTGAGATAGTGCACAGTATTCAGTCCTCTAGTCATGCAAGCTCAGACTCCCCTCCCTGTAATTATGTAATTTATGGACAGCCCCTCACACCCTCTCATAATGGAGTACAGCAGCAACCAACTTTGCTAACAAAACAGCTGACATGAGAGGAAGGCAGGTAATTGTTTTTTGCTGCTTTTTGATGAACAATTGCAACATTTTACTCTTGAATTTACCCAGGGGTGTGTATTGAAAAATGAAGAATCTAATACAGGTTGTTGCCATCGGGCTGAGTCAAAACTTCTGTCAGAGGGAATTTTGTTTTGTTTGTTGGTTTGTTGTTGGTTTTCATGGGTTCATGTAAGTTGGCATTGAAATCATGTTCAATCGCGGAAATTTGCGCTTAGTCTCTCTCAGTTTTGATTTTTTCTTTCTGTGTCTTTTATGTGTTTTTAACTTCAAAACTTTTGGAAATAAAATGACTTTGAACAAAATTCACTTTTATGTTTGGGGGGTTGCTGTACAGATGTTCCTCGTAATCAGCCTGATAGTACAGGTGGTGAGAATCTTCTAACCAGTTTGCTTACGCAGTGTTTTGGTAATATCTGCCGTGACCTACCCCTCAACTCATTATTTGGTAAGAAAACTCTAGTTTTATTCACTTTAAAACTACTGAAAAGAACAATTTATTCCAGACATATCTGCCTCAGATCTATCAAAAAAGTAATTTGCATTTTAACCAAACAAGCAATGTTTCTTTCTTCATTGAGTAAACAATCAGTAAATTTCAAAACACAACTATATGTAGTTCTCAGGCAGTTTTCTTAATTGTTAGTGACCCTTTTGGCAGTTTAAATCGCTGTTTTGAATGTACGTATGGAGCTTTTATTTGAAGGAGGAATTTTTCATCCACTCATCCATTTTTTATAAAATTTTGCCAGAGACTCAATGGTCTAGCTTTGTCTGATATCAACTCCCAACCTTCAACAACATCTTGAAGTTAAGGATATTAAAAAGGAGTACCCTAGCCTCCTATCTCCGTAAATTCAGATCATTAATTTAGAAAACTGAAATGTATTCTGCCAATTGGGTCCCAAATTATATATGTATGAAAAAATGTTGGAGAATATTCTTTTGCATTTGGTATATGTTCAGAGGTCCGGAAGGACTTTCAAACTCTTAGAAAATTTCAGCAAATTCAACTTTCCAAATAACTGATAGGAGATGAAAAAGAAATGAAGTCATTTTTGTTCTGCAGCAAAATATTCGAATGAAAGCAAGTATTCCATACTTGAAATTCGGTTTGTATTCCTGCCTGATATATCAAGAATAACATAGCATGAGAGCTTTCCATGTTTCAAATCAGCTGTTCCTAATTAACGCTCAATGAGGCAATATTTTAAGTTTGTTTTTAGCCTGTTTTGCAAAGTTTCATTTTGTCTTTACTAATTCATTCAGAATGAAAGTCACTGGAAATGGAAATACTAACTTTTTTTTCTAGCTGTGCACTGTGTTTTGAACATTATTCACCAGTGTTTAACTTTGTACCTAATTTAACTGATACTCTTCTTTACGGCCAGGCCCAAGCGTTAAAATCCAAGTTTTGAGAAAAAACAGGGGAAATTGTGCCATTTGGCACAGGCTCAATCTTTTGATCCCAAGAAACGTATGCTTCTGAAGAATACCTATTGAAACTAGGCTCAAAACATTGATGAAAGTAGGAATACCTCAAATGATTCATCGGTATCTGGAAAAAATTCTGAGAATAAGTGCTAACTTTCAAAACACAGTATCAACTCAACGGCAAAGCATGCCAGCTAACTCTTGCAGTTATTATTAAAGAAAATTAACTCCATCGGAGAATCCTGCATTGGTGCAAATGAGATTTTGCTCTCACCATTTTTTTTATCGTATTGTTTTACATAATCTTGACTACCTGGTCAAAGCAAGACCATGCGTGCATTCAACAATTTTTGAAATGCTCTGAATTCATTAACTTTTTTCACTGTTTCACTCAAATCATTGTTCTTATTAACAGATACTGCTTGGAAAACTCTAACTCGTGAGTAAAAAAATATTTCTGCAAATGGCACTGTAGATTTTGATCTGTAGATTTGACTGTCATTTATTAGAATTTTCTTTTTTTCTTTTATAATTTCTTCTTGATTCAATATTTTTTCCGTAGTCTTGTTTGATGCAGGATTAGCAGCAATTTAAAGTACTGGGGTTAAGGAGGGAAAAAGTCCTGGAATTTTTGTGATGAATTAAAATATATTTTTTTATACATTTTTTTGAATGTAAATATAGTTTGGTCCTCAGTGGCAATCATGTTATCTTTTAAGACAGCAAGCAACACATCTTGTCTTTTCAAGAGCTTGATGGATCTACATAGCGATAACAGTTTCATTCGTGCACTCTTCGGACTGACGTTAAAATTTTCTGTTCCGTATTATTTTCTAATTCCTAGTTTTGCAGCCAAAGGATGCATTTCTTATGCTTCTTACTTGTTTCTTTATTTATTTTTATGATTTAGAGAATTCCTTCAGAGTTTGTAGTCTTTTCACTGAAGTCCATATCTATTCATTTCGCCTCTTTTTCAGCATTCAAATTTTATGTAGCTCATTTGTATTTTTGCTGCTTTTTGAAGCATTCGATTCCATTTTTTAAGATTGTAGTTCACACTTGGTATTTTTTGGGACTATTTTTTTTACGGTTTTTTACTTGAAGTATCCAGTTGGCCTCGACTAGTATGGTAGTAAGTACTTATGACTGTCTCTTTTCATAAATTTTTCTTTGTAGAATTTTAAAACTTTATCATGAAAAAAAAAGTGTTTTCTTCTCGTTTTTTTTTTCCATTTTTCATTTTTCACTGGATGTATATCTCTCCACACACGTATTAACAGCAATTTCAATTTTATGTAAACAGAAACCAAGAATGAAGGCTTCTCTAAAGATGTTTGTAGAAGTATGATTGCCATGACAGATGTGGATCGATCTGGAAAGCTTGGATTTGAGGAATTCAGACAATTATGGATCGATATCAAACATTGGAAGGTAAGTCGCTTTGAACTTTAGATGATGGGATGGTTTGAGGGCTTCTCTTCCCTTTTCGAATTCTCGTTTTAATACTCAATTCTGTGGATCTGTTATCAAATACTCTTAATGTTAAACATTGCTGGTGATATTACAAAACCGCAAATCTTGGCAAACCTGATTTTTAAGGAGAGTAAGAAAAAACTATTTACAATCCTCATCTTCATTGATAGAAAGGTCCATTCTTGAATAAAGCTATGAAATAGACAGTAGAAAATACTGTTCAACTCCTCAAAGCATTTTTAAATTGCCTCAACGGTTGAGCAGTATGACAGCTACCTATGAATTTTGAGAGTAAGGGAATTACACTGTATCTAAAAATAAGTTTTTTTAAAAAAAAAAAAATCCCAAAAAAGGTACCTGTGGTCAAGACAATCAGATCTTAACATATCCTTCTTTTGACTTTTTTATTCAATCATATCCAGGGTGTATCCTGAGCAAATAGTTATTTGTGGGCTCTACGCCGTAATTTATATGCTGTTTTTCCTTACCATTAAAGTATGTACTAAGCCAAGATCTACTTTCTTGGTGTTTCAGGAAGTGTTTAAACTTTATGATAAGAGCAACTCTGGTTATCTCAGTGCCTTTGAATTGCGTCAAGCTCTCAACTCTGCCGGATACCACCTTAACAATCACATTTTGAATGTCCTTTGTCACCGGTACGCCAGCAAAGATGGCAAAATATCTTTTGATGACTTCATGATGTGTGCTGTTCGATTAAAATCTATGATAGGTAAGGCTCTTTCATAATATTGACCTTGATTTTATTACTCATCCAAATTATTTTCCACTATGATATTAATTCGTAAGAGAAGACGGATGTGGTCAGAGCATATCAAAGAAATGTACGCAATGAAACTAATGAAAGTTTATATGAATGGACAATTTCATAGAAAACAGTTATTTGAACAACTGTCCAATAGATTGCACGAAGCTGGCTTTCTTTTCCTGAAGACGATTGATTATTTTAGACACTTTATTTTATGACTTAACAAATCTTTTGATACTTATTTCTTTCATACATTTGCACTCGTTACTTGAGAGACAGACAAACAGAGTATGGCCCCAGTCGTTCATAATAGTTAAAGGAAGTATGTTTTTCAATTTTTACCTGGCATTGATAGTCACAATTAGTTACTAAGAATTTATATTTGGTCTAATTCTATAATGAAATTTCTACTTTCTCTTTCTCTAGATATGTTCAAGGAAAGAGACCCGGAAAACACCAACACAGCAACATTCACATTAGAAGAGTGGGTGGAAAAAACTCTGTACTCATAAGATCTGCGTATTTCCTAAGTTTTGTTAAACACTTTGAGCTAAGGTTTTTTTTACTGAATGTCTTCTTTTATTATTCTTATCACTATTACGATGCTTCATAATTTTATTTCTTTTTGTACAAAAAGTTTTATTAAAATAAATTTTATTTTTGAACTTTACTTGAGTCATCCTGAATCCCATTTGCAAGTAATCCAAGACAAACATATCAAGAGATAAAATGACAGTAAAATGATTTTCGCTGTAAGAATTACAAATCATTTTATACCAACAGAAAAATTTCCTCAATACAAATTTCTTCCTTACATCCTGAAACCAAAATTTAAAAGGTATTTCTTACTTTTAATGTAGTGCGTTAGTAGTGAAGGAAACAAAAGGCAAGAATAGCATTCCTAAAGGAAAAATTATACAAGAAATTATTATTTAGTCGAAAATTGGAGCAAGAAATAACCAAAAATATTATGATGGGTCAAAAATGTGCATCTCTGATTGCATCATTGCATGTTCCCATTCAAATTTTGTTTCCGTGTTAAGAAAGTTAACTTTTTGATCGTAGGTACTTTCCTCACTGATTGGTCAAGCAAAGATCTCAGATGTGTTCTGTGCTGTATCAAAGCATCGGAGCGCATCATAATCCTGAGTCTGAAAAGAGAAAGAATAAAAAAGAAGATGAAGATTATGAAAAATGAGAAGAATATGGAAGAAAGAGAAAGAAGCAGACAGGGGGGAAAATCCGCCGTAAATATCGCGTATTTCTCGCGATGTTGAGATGAAACTCGCGTAACTTCTCTTTTTTCACACACGGAAATTAAGCGAGCAACTATTCCAACTCCGGAGTAGGTATGTGGTATCACGTGGAATTGAAGGAAAATCTTAGATCCTAGAGATCAGAAAAGATATGAGAGAGATGAAGCGGATGAAGGGAAGATTGAGAAAGGAAGAAGAAAAAGTAGAAATAAAGAAATATAAGAAGGAATGAGAAAGGAGAAATAAGAAGGAAGTGGAATAGTGTTATCATTGTGGAATGGCATGCTCGTGCGGAACAAACTCAAAAGAATTACGGCTTTTTACCAAACCGGGACTGAACGAGGTTGCTCGAATACCATGTCGACGGCGTAAGTCCGCAATCACATATCTCATTTGCGGTGTCTGAAAATCTCCGTCTCTATGTAATTTCTTTAAAGGAGAGCAAGTTGACATCATTCCTTGAAGTTTTTGCAGAATTTTCTTCGAACAGAGAAGAAAAACCACGGCAGTTTCAAAGAATTGCCGTTGAATAGTTTACCGTTCAAAAAATAAACTATGACAGGAAGTCAGCGACGTCGCAAACTGAGTTATATGATTGCCGACTTAAGTACACCGTCGATGTCAGTTCGCCTTCAATTTTAAGTGTAGGCAACACAGGTTCCTACGTGTTCGAATAGTGGTATCGCCGTAAAATGGTACGATCACCCGGATCACTCACTAATAAGGTTTTTTTTACCGAACGGGGTGGATCAAGAAAATACCAGATCGACAAGAATCGATGGAAACAGATAAATGTGAACCGCTGACGTCGACTCGATCGAGGAGTAATAGAAAAACAGGGTTGCTTTTAGTTTTTAATCTATGCTCATCGATCGAAACAATCCCGGTCTATTATCTCAGTGAATGCCAGAAAGTTACTCAATTTATTAAGTGAGAAAGGACTAAAGTTATAATGGACCACTAGACAAGGTACGAATTTAAACAATCTGATACATGTCTCTTAACAAGAATTTCACGTAGAACACGATTCACACAACGAAAATTACTGAAACCAACTCCTAACGAAGATATTAACGTTTTTATTTCACATTGATTACGAGGAATTTGAACTGCCCGCTCACAAGAAACTCAAAGCTCTACGTGAGTCAAATCGCGCACTACAACGGTTTCAGCAAGCTTCTCAACCGAGCAATGTTCATTTCCCGCCATGTGTTTTTCAAACGATAAGCAATTTGCTATTGCTGAGCCAAAGCGTCAAGATTGAGGTTGCGAGATTTTTATATCGCAGAGACTGTCATGATAACGTTTAGCGCACGATGTGAATCACGTAGAGCATTGCGTTTTCATGAGCGGGTGGTTTGAATTCACGCATCAGGAATCATTAAATATCTTCGTAAGGAGTTGATTTCGATAATTTTCGTTGTGCGTATCGTATTTTACGTGAAATTTTGGTTATGAAACATGCATCAGAATGCTGAAATTCGTACCTTGTCTAGTGGTCCATTCACGGTGAAGCATCTAGACCTGTGACTCTAGTCCCTGTAACTCTACAACTAATATTTATGTAGTATAAGAGTAAGTGGAATTAAGGGATTTAGTTTAGAGAATATAGTAGTGTACCAAGGAATGAAGAAACTTAGAAACTTGCAGGGAGAGGAGAGATTTGAGAAACTCCATCAAATTAAAGCAAAAATGCCTCTCCCCCCACTCCTCCCCTCGCTAAAAATTCCTGGCCATGTAAAACAAAGAGGCATGTATCAAGCTAGGATGAAAACATTAATACTGTTAAAATTACTCAATTCGATATAAGTGTGAATTCAATGGCTAATATTTCCATAAGTAAAATTAGAAGCAAATATTAAAGGTGCAAAGTTATCTTTATTAGTCCGAAATGTGTCTAATTTTATTCGCATAATAACATTAAGTTAACATATAACATCAAGTTAGATAGAAATTGACCATTAGAAATAATAAAAATGAAAGGTTCTACCAAAGCTATTTCAATTTTTTCTGTACATCAATATTTAAAACAGTCTCCCAACTAACACAATGTAGTGAAAATACTGAAATACTGGTTGAATTTTTTCCCCATACTAATTTTAAATACTAATTTATCTATGAGTCGCGTCGAGCAACTCGCGTTTGTCGATTTAGTTCAGTACGCCTACTTTTCTGCAACTGCGTTAAAGTCTCTAAAGCGGTTCCTGAATTTCACAGTCTCTACAATCTCTCGTGTAGTTCAACAAGAGCAGATTTTTATATACTAATATCTCCACGCGTCAAGCAACTCGCGTTTGTCGGCGCGCCTACTTTTCTGCGCAGCGTTAAAGTCTCTGAAGTGATTCCTGCATTTTGCGGTCTTTGCGATCTCTCGCGCAGTTAGGAATGAGTACATTTTTAAGTAACAATGTCTCCCTGCGTCGAACAATTCGCGTTTGTCGCTACATCTTTTTTTTTGCGCTGTTTTAAAGTCTTTGAAGTGATTCCTGCATTTTGCCGCCCTGGCGATTTCTCGTATGGTTCAACATGAGAAAATTTTCTAACGACCAAAAAATAAGCTCCGCGTATCAATAAGATAGGAATTTTTCAATGGACATCGCAACTTGAAAAATTTCAATTCATTGCAATCAATTTCACCAAAAGAAGCCCCTTCAAGTATTAGATAGGCAACATGCGCAACACTTCGATGAAGCAGCATTAATTTTAAGGTATGGAACCTTCACGGCGTCTGACCGCTTGCGTCCATCACCAATGCTGCCGTGTGCCAAAGAAAGAATGTCGTATGAGCATTCGAGAGTTGCCAGACTTCCTTCGATGTAATGTTTATTTTTGAGGAAAGTTATGAATATTTTTCCTTTAAATTTTCAGAATCTTTAGGTAAAATTGCGAACAAAATTATCTGAAATATTGGGAGGAAAATATTCATACATTTACGAGGAAATTATCGTTTAATGGAAAAAAAAACACATTGGATCTAGAGTCCAGACTCTTGAAAACATCGACAAGAAAAAATACTCTTGATCCAATCGGATTTTTGCTTAAATCAAGAACCAAGCCTCTTAATTTGAGCGGATTTCCTTTTGATTTAAGCTTAAATCTGATTGAATCAAGAGTTTTTTTTCTTGTCAATGTTTTCAAGAGTCTGGACTCTAGATCCAATGTGTTTTTTTTTCTCCAGTGTTTTATCAAAGGAAATTTGGCAAATCCTGAAGGTTCACACGTCGTTTTTCTCTAGTAAACCAGAATGCAATCCAGATCCGATAGCGGCTCGCGCCTGATTTTTAACAAGGTTGCTTTCAACCCACCGATTTGGTGAATGTAACCCCAAACAAAACGCACCAGAAAATATCAACCGCACGTATAGGTTATTTTTTGTTATACCTCGCATATTAACCCAAAATTTGGTTCAGATACTTTTTCATGCTGCGGCGCGTGCGCATGTCATAATCTGACTCGAGGAAACTCTCTGACCGCATTTTATCGACATTTTATTTACTTTCTAACTCAAGAGAGGCTTTCATCGGAGGTGGATCACGTGTGCGGATTTCGAAATGAACGCAGTATAGGTACACGATATCGGAGCAGGTGGTCGTGGCCTGTCTTGAGGGGTCGCGCGGCGCACTTCCGCCGAAGCACCTGGGGGTTGAGAGACGTGCGCGCGCGCGGTCTGAACAGGCGATCAATGTTGGGATGCCTTATGTCCAGGAAATTACGGGACAATCCCGTTCAAATCAATCCGTATATGAATCTTACATTTTAATATGTTGTGCATCCTACTTTCCTGAACTGTGGTGAGATTGGTGTGAGGTTTACCTTTCAGGATCTTGTTACGTGTTTTCAATTACTTCTTTAAATTGAATCCAAGGAGAGCAAGTAAAACATTTCTAAAATACTGATTTCACTTCAAATGTTTAGAAAAAACAGGTCAATTAACCCGAGACGCACATTTAGGCGGTTTATTTCTACAAACTCTGTCTCGCAAAACCCGAATTAAAACTGATATTATTCGAAAGCGATCGAGAGTCAAAACTTTTCGATGTATTTGATTTTTCAAACGCAATATTTCTAGTTCGGATACCTACCTTCCTTGTGTTCAGATTGGCTCCATCAGCTTTTCCCTAAAAGTAAAGAATCTGATTTTTGTCCTCTGAAAAATTTTAAGCATTCGGTGGAAAAAGTTCGAAACTCGCTGGTCTTGTCTTCTTTGAAGCAAGAACCACGGATTTGACGTTGCTTTGTAATTTGAAGAAATTGTCACCCAATCAAAATTGCACGAAAAATGGCATCATGGTCAAACAACCACATTTTTAAGGTATCTTCAAATTACGCATTTTAAAAAAATAGTGAGAACAAGTCAAGTCTGAATTATCATAGTTTTCCGGTCCAAAGGCGTGTTTAAAAGCGCGAGGCGATG